GCCGGTGGTTTATCCCGGCGAAAATTGTTGGTATTGCTTTTGCGGCGCTGGAAACCCAGCCTCGACTTCGTGGCAAAGGTTTCAGCTGCTTGCAATTTTCCATCACTGTTGCGTCTGCTTTATTGCATGGAGCCTGAAAAAGCGCGAATTCATCGAAGACCGGGGTCAAGAGTTCAAGAGAAAGCGTGTTGCCCACACTCTGTCATCTTTAAGTCAGCGCAAAATGCAAGCTTTCGTGGTCGGGCAATCGTTCTGGCGTAAAGCGTGTCAAAGAGTGAGTTACAAAAACGAAACGGCTTGAACGCAGGCCTGAAAATGCCGCCGCACACTCAACAACTTCTTTTAGGGGCACTTATTCATTCAAAAAGCTTATAACGACTGTTTAAATGCGCGGTAAGCAGTCTTCGTATGCACAGTTTTTCTCCGCGGCATGTTTAAAATGCACAAAAGGCAGTAGGCTGGGTATGGCCTGATATTACCAATAAGTGGGAAAATATGGGTCCTGATTTTCGAATTTTCGCAAACTAACTATTCACCGAAACTTCAGTTTTCATGTCGCATTCAAAAAAGGCGGTAATTGGTTGCTTAACAAGTGGAGCTCTTGGTGCTAGTGGTCAGTATGGCGAGACTTCAAAAGGTTACAGTTTTAATGTTTATTATCTTCCTGATGACCGGATTATCTTTTTTCATCCATTGATTCGGTTTATTTTACATAATAAAACACGGGCAAACTTTCCATGCTTCAACCGAGTGCTCCTGCAGTTCTTTTTGCCTTATATTCTGCGACATGTTGTCTTTTTAGCACCCAGACACTAAAAAAAACTTAAACTAAGCAAACTTCCTCCGCTATACGTCCCAGAGATGCGCGCCTCGTTCTCTCAATCGCGACGGCCTCAAGCGGGGGGGGTGAGGGGGACGCTTCGCTGGTTGGCGGCTATCCGTTAGTCCATTCTCGTTTACGGTGATTACTGTCGGTCAGCGTGTTTTAAGCCTTCGCCATCAGCACCGTGGATTTGACTGTGTCCGGCGCTGAGACGTGAAGGCAGGCAGACTGCTGTCAAGCCAGCGTGGGGATTGAGTGAGCAGTGGTTTGAAGAATACACTCCCCAATCAGAAAGGTGCGCACACCAATCTATTGGCTTCACGAAGCCAATTAGTTCCGTATGGGTGACAAAGGTCACGAACAGGCAACCATTTACCAGACCGAAGTCGGCCAAGTCATAATAGCCGCGAGGAGGGACGACAGAGAATGCGGGTAGATTGATACAGTACTGTTTCGGGCTTATTGTGCACTCATCCAGCCATCATAGCCCTGACCAGCAGCTGGGACAAGAAACACAAACAGATTAAGCTCGAAACAGTACTGTATCAATTTACCCGCATTCTCTGTCGTCCCTCCTCGCTGCTACACACCCCGCCTAAGCTACCTAGCTGTTACCAGAGCATCAGCAACAAGATATTTCTGTGTTTATTTTGGGTGGGGGAGTTACTGGTTGACGCCTGTCACTTCGGTATTGCCTCCATCCTAGTAATTCCTGTTGAATTCTGTTTGTTTGCAATTATCTGTTGGTTCTTCTGAGAGAAGCGCCTTCTTCCTATCCTCCAGAGCCCGCAAAGTAAGTTCTGTCTGCATCAGTAGCACGTATTTTGAGACTAGACTTTTAGAGGAGCCATTAGTACTTCAGCTGGAAATTGCAGTGCACCTCAGCTATCAGCGAGCGTCATTAGGCAACCTACGCAACTGACAAACAGTCTCGAAAGATGGGTAGGTGAACCATCCCATACAAATCATCCCGCGAAGGCAACAGGACATTTAGGGCAAGAAACCTAGACATGTCGAACGTTTCACTGCGGGTTTCCTTAAACGGAGCAGGTGCTTGGTCCGACAGTCCAAACTGTACGCCTCCTTCAATAAGACAGCAGAAAACGTGATGTCACACTTCTGTTACCTTATTTGTTGGGTAGTGTTAGCTGGGACTCGACTGTACTCCGTATTTCATGTTTCGTCGATATACAGTGAGTGACCGATCTCCTGAAATTTTGGCTGAAATTCTGAAAAGAATTTTCGATTAGGATGGATTGCTTAAGTGCGGTTGCAAAACTGAATCCCTTGCGGCATAATTCTATAATATTTCGGACTTGGTAGGATGTCAACTATTGGATGCACTGCTTTTAAATCTCCCGTAGAAACCGTATTCGGTAAGAAATGACTACTTAAGTAGCATGCATTTTTCGTATTGATTTTCGGTGTACATGCAAATTCAAATATTTTTTATGCAAACCATGGACAAGCATATTCTTTCTTTCAGCCGTTTGATAGAGAATCACGTCCTGTTTATATTTTATACTCGAAGAAGGGGTATAATGAGGTATTGAAAAAGTTCCTAATCATGAGGTTTTTCAAGACCGTCAATGTCTATTCATACAGCATCGTAACTGTCTATTTGCCACTGTTCCTCATGAAATGTATAACATGGCCCGCATCCATTGCAAAATTTTATGGATCCTGTATACGATCTTTTTAAAGGCATAGAACAATATATGATTTTCCTTACGGTGAACACTTGCACCTTGTAGTCTGAAATCAATAAGAGCTAGTGCAGCGGCTGATGGGGCTCAAAATTATCCGGGAATTAGAAAACTTTTTAAAACCTTATTATGCTCCTTTTTTGAGCATAAAATATAAAGACGATGTGATTCTCTATCAAACGACTGAAAAAAACATACTTTTGTTTGAGGTTTCTATAAAATATATTAGCATTTTCAAGACCATCGGAAGTCATTGTGAAAAATGCATGCTACTTAAGTAGTCACTTTTTATCGAGTACGGTTTCTGCCGAAGATTAGAATGTAGAGCATTCAAAAGCTAACACTCTGCCGACCCCGGAATATATTAGGACTATGTCTCGTGATAATGAACGTTTCAAATCCACCTAAGAAAACCTTCCTAATCGAAAACACATTTCAGAATATCAGCCAACATTCCAGGAGATCGGTCAATGACCGTAGTTGTAGTTCTTATACTCTCCCGAAAATCATAAAGGCGGAGTCTGCAATGAAAGCAGATTAGCAAGTGTTGCGCTAAAATTGTATTCTTGTCGTCATGCCCAGTTTTGCGTTCAGTGAGTTAAAGTAAATCACCATTATTATGGACTGTGCGCCTGATAAATACGTAATTAAAGAACTATGCGTAGAAATAGTTGAACGACTGTGGAGAAGAGCAGAATGGGCAGAGTCGACCAGAATGAGCTCGAAAACAGAAGAACCGGCTGGGAATTAGCGCTTTATTATATTGCAAGGATGGACTGATTCCCCCGAGCATTCTTGCAGTCCAGCTGACCTTAAGGACTCAAATAAAATAGCGATGGGTCCCATCTCCAGAAAAAAGGGAAAAGTCGACAGCATGCTTCCTATGCGCTTTGGAAAAAAGTGATAACTGTGTGAAACGAGTTTTATATTTCCCCTTTTAGTCATATCATAAAGTTAAATCGAAAAGCCAAGGCCTTCTAATCGATATTGCTTTGACAGTTTGCGAAGTTATTCTATAGTGATTTGAACAATGAAGTCGGGTTTATGACAGAAAAATTAACTTTACGTAGCAAAAAAACCACTGAAAGGCACTTTTCCAAAAATGATAGATTAATCCATGACGGAATAGCGAATTCTTGGCCGCATAATTAGACGCGTTCTCGTAAATGCGGCATGCAAATTGAGGTGTCCACTCGCAGTGGTCATGAAAGGGACAAAAATTTTTAATAAACGACCAGGACAGGTAACAGCTCTAATTCTATTTATTGCTGATTCAATGTTATTAACAGTAACACGAAGAAGGAGTCTAATGAACAAATTATATTTGGAAGATCGGGACTTCAATCATGTATTTGTTAACTGACAATAGCTGCCCTTCGTCAGATAACAATATCTTTTCTTAGTGTTTCTCATCGATAATTTGTGCGGACGATGTGTTAACTCTATAAAAACCAAAATGGGCTATTGTATGGTTCCGTTTGTTTGTGCAATCGTTCTCGAAGAGTGATGCATTTAAGGAAATAACAAGTAACAGAGGGTGTTTAATCTGGACTAAAGTGCAACAGAAGCCTCGATGTTCTGGCAACTTACTTGATCATATGTTTGTTCCACGATTTCAAAGTCTAAAATTAATTTTGGCTATTAACTCCGAAGTAGCAATTGCAAAAATACCTAGTGTCCAATTTAAACAGACATGTGCTGGGCGACTGAAACAACCTTTTCCGTGTTTTCGTGAACTTCGGTTTTATAAGTTAGAAGGCACTGCTGTAATCTTAAATTGATAAGTAAACAACCAAACTTTGTTTACCGTGAAACGTACTGGCGCACAACTGACATATCATTTTAACGAAACACTTCAGATAAGCCAAATATTTATCGAACAAGGAACTCAGTCAGAACCCCATATTTATTAAAGTTCATAGAAATTTTATCCCCCGCAAAACTTCATGTTCACTTGCATACACCTGAATGCTTATTTTTTCTCGCGATTATTAAAAGCCATAAGGATATTCATGACAGTGCCACAGTTGAAAACATCATTGTGCAACACAAAAGCGCTCTCATTGTAAGGTCAAGATCTGATTGGCCGTGACAGCAAAAGCGAACCAAATTGCGCCTTTTCGCTGCCCGTGATTGGTTGGCGGGTGCTGAGGTATGTTTCGCGGGGTTTGATCAATGTTTCCGTCTTGATGGCTTCAATTCGTCTCACAATCTGTCCGTGCCTAGCCAGTTCAAGTATGTTACGGTGGACAAAGTGTCAACCTGCATAAGCTATGAATGGGACCCCGCACCCTGCTTGTCTCACGGACGACTGTCTTATTGACGCCCAGTCATCAGTATCGAGTACTCTCCCCTATGCTTACCTGTATGCCAACCTGTGTTCATATTTTCTTGTCTGGTACATGCCATGTGTCATTGTGTTTGGCACGGTGGGGACGCTTTTTTGTCTCTTCTTTCTGTTCTGCTCAAAGATGTTCCAAGCAAATCTCCTTCTCTGGCTGTGCAGCATCTGTGTCGGCGACTTTTTCATTATCGCCTTCGAGGGTGTTTGGATTCTCCTCAAGGTGTGGTTCCGCTTTGACATTCGAGACCTGAACGACGGAATTTGCGTTTTTCACAAGACCGCCTCCAATTACTTCCTCTACTGGTCAGCCTACATGCAGTGTGCGCTGTCTGTGCAGAGGGCATACTTTGTGTTTCGACCCCTGAGACCGAGAGCCAGGAGTTCTGTCTCCTGGCAACATATGCTCATTTGGGTCGCCATCACACTGTTCCTTCTGCTGCCAATGATCCCCTATCCGATTTACTGGCGTGTAATTAACAATGACTGTGATCCGCTCGATGGCAATGCCTTCTACGTCACAACCCTGAATGACCTCATAATCTGGGGCATTATACCCCTGATGGGTATGACAATTTCCACAGTTGTTATCTGCTGGAATATGGCCCAGGCGGCAAAAAACCTGTCCTGTCAGCCTAGCATAAAAGCAGCAAAGCCCTGGAATGGCGCCGAAAGCACTGATAGCAAAACCAGATGGATGTCGCGAACGTCAGTTACTAGCACATCCAGTAGTGCTCTCTTCTCGACAAAATTCAGACGTAATACCATAGGCAGTGCTCTCTTTACGACGAAAACGCAGGACCATCTGCAGAGACCCTTCGCCGCCCAAAAAAGAACCACAGTTGCATCCAACCACAGCAGCTTTATAGGCCACCTACAACAAGCTAGCCTCGGGACAGTTGGTGAGCTGAAACGGAGCAGCAGCGTCGAGCTGAGCAACTTTGGCAGTTCTCGGAACGTGGATGCCAACAGTGTCCGACACAATGCCACTGACAATACCGGACAGGTCACTCGCCTCCTGGTGTGCATGAACATCTGTTATCTGGCCAGCACATTTCCCCTCCTCATATTCCTAATGTTTCGCAACTTCAGTAGCATCCATGTGCCGCCTGATATTCACAGATTTGCATACTACCTCTGTCGCAGTTTCTGTTTCATCAACTCCTGCACAAACTGGATCTTCTACTGTCTTGTGGGGAAGCGCTTTCGTCAGCAGGCGAAGCGGATTATTCTTGTTTGCCTTAAGGCCAGTCGATTTCGTTCAGAAGATACTACTGACGGCCAGCGGATGAAAAACAGCTCCGTCCACCAAGAGAACATAGTATGGCAGGAGGACGGTCAACTAAAACAACAGTCGGGGGAGGTGAAGAATCCCAGAAGCCGGTCTACTGTGCACGACATGAAACAGATTGTAACAGGCATTCCAAACCGATGATGACTATCACGCTGATATTCCTGTCTTCATTCGCTCATATTTTATTCCATTCTTGCGCTTCAAGTATCGATGTGATTTGCGGCGACTGTACATGAAAGGTGTGCGCTCCGCACAACTGCATTTCCTTCGTACCAAGCGAACTGCCGACAGTATTGGGTAACAAATGCATTTCTTTTGTTTCACCTTAACAACAAAGCAAATCCAAGTTTTAATGACGAAATAAGTTGGCAGAATTTTGTATTCGGCAAGTGTTGACTTTTGGTTTGAAATCTTCGCAAGGATAAGACATGGGGGATGTAGTGATTAGAAGGCCCAAATGTAGAAGAGCACAGACTGATTGTGTTGCGGAAGGTGTTCGTCTAGTTGCATATTGGGACTCAATCTAGGAGCTCCGAGAGCAGTCCTGTGGCCGGTAGTAATAAACTGGAATGTGGGATCATTGGCAAAGACGGAAGTGACAATTTTTTAACTCTTAAACCGTCATCAGTCAGCCATGCACAGCCCCAGGTCTGGGTATCCTGGGACTCGAGCCAGAGGCTCTTATCTAATGGACCATCTCGTAGTTCATCGCCTTCCCCGTTGAGTCGCGGTCCCGTTGTCCTGTCGGTTGTGATCACGAATATCAACTGTGGTAGATGGGCACTCCCCAGTGGGCTTACGAGGCCATCTCGCCCCGTCCTGCCCTGGGGCTCAAGCTAGACCCCTCGATGCTAGTCACATGACGATAGTAATATATACAGCAGTGGAGATACCGTAAAAGACATCTAGCCCGTTCTCAAATCTTAGGTTCGCTCTTGCTGACCGGCGGTGACGACTTCCATGCCAGAACTAGCCATTCCGGTCTCCCTTCTCTTTGTTGGTACCACCGCATTTGCATATGTGTAGGCATCCTGAAAGGTGACAAACACGCTGCGCCCAAGGAGCTGTACATATGAAGGGGAGTTGAAACAATTTTAAAGTCCAACCTTGCATTTCACTGACTCCCCGATCTTAATCGTACCGATCCTCAAACGAAATCTGTAATTCACAGTTCTGTTAAATGTCAGACATAAGCGGTGGAGTGATCTACAACCGCCCTTTTGATTTTCCTTGACGCAATTTGTCCGAACTGTCGACCGGTTCACACTTTCAATGCTGCTCTGCCCAAATCGCGAATGGAGGCTGAATATGAAGGTCGGGTAAAAGTTCAAGTTACTATTCGCTTAATGATGCGAAACGCGCCATCGGCATCCCACACGGTACTCTGATTTTTCCTTGCACCGAACTGTTAATAGCTGCTTTTATTCCCCCGGACTGTTCGCTCTAACCGAAGCTGGAAGAATCTCAAACAATCTGGCTTGTTTAACAATTTTGCCAGTGAAATTACGGCTGATTTACAGCCTTAGGTGTGGAAATTGAAACTAACCACGGGACGACAGAGGACAGTAGTAGTCGTATTGTACATGAAGGGCTACATTTGGAGAGCCCTTGGACTCCACCACGTCCGAACAATACACGTTAATTGCAACGGTAAATAAATAAGGACTCTGGCAGACAGTATTAACGGCGATCGTAACAACTCAGAAAATGTGAGGCGTCGGAGGGATAAATTGTTGTCTCAGGGATTATCAGCACTCACCGTTTTCACGCTACCCACATGACGAGGTTGGGGGCGCTGTGGCCATTGAGACAATGGGGGTTGACGTATGCTGTAAGTGATGTTTTTAATTCGAATGCTTGGAATAAACAGCACTATCTTCGGACAGTTGGGGCGCGGTGCGATAATTATCTGGGGTCGACGTTGGTCACGGAAAGAGAACGCCTGGGTCAATGTCTTCCGACAATGTGTGCTAGATTCGCTGGCCTTAGAGTCACTTCCTCGGCTGTAGCTAGCACACATTGGTGTAGACCCTTAGAAAAGTTTGCTGGTGGCCAGTGGACAAACTGGGAGGCCTCTTTTGCATCGCCTCGGTGATTCGTATCGACAAGATGTGCGAGAGTAGAACCAGAAATCGATCTCTTTTCACCTCTGTGTACCCAAGCCCGTATGCGTTCACGTGTCCCCTCGTTTCGAGGCCTTTCGCTGTACGGCCAATGTACCTGTTTCGCAGGTGCAAGCGAACAAGTAAATAAACATGAATGCGGCTTGCAGCGGCCGTCAGTCGTTACCAGGTTGCTGGCCAAATGCATCGGGCAATTGACAACTCAGTCGTCAAGCTTGCGAAACGCAGAAAATCTATGGCACGGATGAAGGCCATTATGGGTGCACATGTCTGAATTTTAGCTGAAATGTAAATCTTCATTTTAACCTGACAGGGTTTTCAAAGTAGGCCGCTACATCGGGGAGTGGTAACGTTTAACCGGGAGACTGTTTCATCTCATTCTTTTATGTGATTCATAGTGCTCCGTGTAAATGTGCCCGCTGAAGATGCAACGCAGTCCATGTCACTAATTCGAAATTCGAGACATATCTGCTGTTTATACACGAAACTTCAAGACCACTATCTGGTAAGACCACAGGCGCTTTGATTTTGCATCTGTTAAAATAGATGCCTACTTTTTCCACTATGTAATTTGAACCCAACAGCCTTTTCTGCCTCGATTCTCCAAATTAGACTGCGAAAGTGGGAAGGTAATTGGTGAGAAGCTTTTATTACTTCATATTTAGACCTGGGTCCTTCAGCGTTAAGCCAGAAACTTTATTGCTAAAGATATATCGGTACATTGTAAATCTGAAATAACTCATGACAGGTTAATGTATAAAAACTAATTCCCGATGAGGAATCTGAACATTTTTCTTATAAAATGCACAAATACTTTGACTGCTTGTTCGATCAGTAAGATGGCAATTACAGTAGGTGCGCTAACTCATGAAATGTGGACCGAAATTCTGAAATGCGTTTTCGTTTTGGAAGGTTGCTTAATTGGTGTTGTAAAAGTAATCATCATGCAGCATAATTCTATCTTAATTCAGTTGCCTCGGGATGCCGGTCTTGGAAAAAACTCCTTTCTGGCCGCATGCAAAAACCACACTCTGCAAACGTGGCTACTTAAGTAGCATATATTTTCCCAGTTAATCGTTGATGACCTTTAAAATCCAACTATATTTCATGGAAAATCCGAATAAAAATATTCCTCCCTTTCATCGTTCAGCAGAAAATAATGCCCTCTTCCAATTGTATACTCGAAAAAATGTTACAGTTTGGTTACAGAAAAGTTTATAATTGCGACACTTTGTAATACCTTGAAATGCTCGTTCGTAAAGCATGGGGTCCCCGCATTTATTAACGTGACTTGCACAGTTTACAGCATAGCTGAAATCCACTGCCAAATTTGATGAACCCCATATGACCTTATTCTATTACCGTATACAAACATAAGGTTTGTCTTACGCGGAAAATATACGACTTTTAGTTTGGAAACTCTGAGCGCAAGTGTAACGGCAAGTCGGGCTCAGAATTATTTGGGAATTGGAAAAGTTCCTGAAAACCGAATTATACGCTTCATTCGAGCATAAAATTGGAAGAAGACACGATTTTCTTCCAAATTACTAAAAAGGAACATTTTTATTCATGTTTTCAGGCAATATAATTTCATTTCACAGATGTGCGTTCGAATCCCACCGAGATGTTGGGGTTTCACGGGTGGATCAATATGAAAATGAATAACCGAGTTTTTATTGGGATCTAAAATCAACCAGAAAAATGCATGTTACTTATGTAGCTACGTTTTACAGAGTGTGGTTTTTGCATGCGGCCAGACAGGAATTCCATCGAGGGCCGGCATCCCGAGGCAACTGAATTATTATAGAATTATGCTGCATGAGGATTAATTTTACAACCCTACTTTAGTAATCTTTTCAAAACAAAAATGCATCTCAGAATTTTTGTTAACATTTCGTGAGTTAGCCCACCTACTTTAACTTCAGAATACCGAAGGCGTACATAAAAGTGCGTCCACTTGCAATCGCTTTGGTGTTAATTTCACAGAATATTTTTTTATGTGCTTGATTCCCACCATTTAAAATCTCTTCTATGAACGCCATAAACAACGGAAACATTTGAATCTCCATTCGGGCAGAAAAGTGTCGTAGAATGTGATGTAGCGCTGATTACTGGATGCAATAATCACGGGATTATCAATCACGGATAGCCCAGATCTTGCTGCAAAAACCTTATACTAAGTTGCATTTAATTGTACCTTTTAAAAAAAGACTGAATGTTATATAAAACCCATCGATTGTCGGTGCTTTTATGAAAGAAACCGTGATTTTTAGAAAGCGTGGAATACGTTTATTTCTGTAGTCGTGCTGTGAAGGGTTACGACCGTTCTAGGCGCTTTCCTTCTAAAGGGGTAAATTTTAATTTTTTAAAAGCACGTAGTTAGGTATATTTATAAAATAAGAACCTGCATATCGGCAGGTAACAAGGTCACAAAGCTCATGCTTAATGCCACCAAAGACAACGATACGCTATTCATCGTTATCACATGACATAAAGGAGGCTGGAGGTCCTTTACCGAAGTTAAGGTTGAGGAAGGAGAGGACTAAATAAATATAATAAATGGTTTCTAAATGCATAAGAATTAAAGGTTAAACAAAACACAACTGTATGTTGTCCTCCTATGAATCTACTAAAAAAGACGTAATTTTCTCAAAATTCGCATACGAAGTTAACATACTGGATGTTTTTTGTTACTGCTGAAAACGGATTTCTGCAAACACTGAGAAGTTAAAGGCGTATATCATATTACTTAAGCAGCAAGTTTTCGCGAGTACACTTTTGAAAGGAGATGAGAAAAATGTTCTTACTTTCCATCGCATGATTTTGAAGACCATTAAAGCGGTTTAACGACGCTGCAGGCGACTGAAGTGTCAGAATTAAGGCATGATCGAAGCCCCGTAAAACTCTGAAATCCATAAGGTCCTGGTAGACGAGACTTAGGTCCTAAAAATCAACCCCTGGCATTTTGATTCAGTTATAATTAAGCGTGTTTTCTACATTAGCCATTAAAATAATGAT